CTTCTTCTTCTTCTTCTTCTTCTTCTTCTTCTTCTTCTTCTTCTTCTCCTTCTCCTTCTCCTTCTCCTTCTCCCTCTTCCTCTTCTTCTTCTTCTTCTTATTATTATTCTTTGTAGCAAGACAGAGGGAATGGGGAGAAAGAAAGCCTGCCAGAGCCTCGCTCACTCCCCACCCTTGAGCTGGCCAGAGTCCCTTCAGAATACACCTTTACACTCTGATCTAGTTTTGAAGGAGTCAGTTGTCAAGCCTAAGGAGCCGCAAACCTCTCTCTGGCTTTCTGCCTCACACACTGCACCTTTCAAAAGCGCATGGGTTGCCTCTTCTTGGACTCCCAGCCTCCAAGCTGTGAGCTAAGCAAATACCCTTTCCCTCTAAAGCTGCTTCACATACTTTTGTTTCATTGCTGAGGAGCGGAACTCCAGCCTCCAGCATGCTGAGGGGTGCTCTACCAGGCAGCTACTCTGGAGGAATGCTGTTGTAGTAAAAATGAAAAACAGACCAGCGCATCCGCCTATGGCTTACAGTAGACACCAGAGGCAGTAGTCACTGTATGTCAGCTCAGAGAGCTGCCAACTGAAGAAGCCAGGCAAGCATGACAAAACAAACAAACAAAACCCCCTGCATTTACACGTGACAAAACAAACAAACAAATAAACACCCTGCATTTATATGCCTCACAGAAGGGCATGATGACGTCATGTGGACACCACAATCTCAAAGATAACACTTCACTCCACCTTAGACTGGTCTGCCTTTTGTTCTTGGCAAACACAGCGAAGAGAGGCGAAGGAGGCAGATATCCTCACCTGCCCTCAGCTGCCCTCTCACCCCGCCCCCGTCACTGTGCCTTCCATTATGCTCTTCATAGAACAGTGCTTGTTTATAAAATCCTTAATCATTTCCAGAGGACAAAAAGAGAATTAAAGGTAGGAAAGCATTTGTAAATTAAAGATAGGAAGCACAGAATTGCTTAAGCGGAGACAGAAGATTAGGACCTGTCTAACACTGCCACCGGAAGTTGGGGAGACAAGGTCTGTGTGGGCCTGGCTGTCCCGGAACTCACTTAATATGTAGTCCACGCTGGCCTTACACTCACAGAGATCCTCCTGCCTCTGCCTCCCAAGCACTGGGGTTAGAGAAGCATGCTACCACGATCAGCTTCTTAACCTTCCTACTCATAACGCCTTGCCAGCTGTGGGTTTCAGGAATCAGACTTCTGCACCCAGCTTTGGCAGCAAGTGCCTTTACTGCCTGAGCTACCCCGCAGGCCCTGCTGTTCCCGAAATTTTTTCCATCCTCCACATTTAAGTAAATCCGTAGGGGGTCTTAACCCATAGGTTAAGAGATTATGGCCTTCGGGGGAGAAGACAGAAGAACAGTGGCCCATATAACTAAATAAGCCCTACAATCAAACCCTGAGGAAGGACTAATTTCTCTCTCTCTCTCTCTCTTTTTTTTGTGTGTGTGTATGCAAGTGTGTGTGTGTGGGGGGTTAGGATCAATGAAATGATGATGCGATGCGCACAGATTTTATATGAAAGAGGTTTATTGGAGATGAAGAGAGAGAGGAGAGCAAGATATGATAGGCAGAAGAAAGGGGGCACCCCGACAGAGAAGGGGAGAGACCAAGAGAGCAACAAAGTGGCAGGTTGGCCCTTTTATGGAGCAACTGAACCACGCCTGCCAGGTGTGGCTACCAGGCTGGAGACACATGATGACATCATAAGTTGCTAGGCAACCCAGAAGCAGGATGCCTATATACTAACAAGGGGTACTTCAGGCTGAATCCATGACCTCAAGCATGCTAGTCAAGCCCTCTACCACAGAACTATACACCCATTTTCTTTTCTTTTGAGACAGGGTTTCTCTGTGTAGTCCTGGTAGACTAGGCTAGCCTCGGATTCAGAGCTCTACCTGTCTCTGCCTTTCAAGTGCTGGGATTGAAGGAGTTCACCACCTCAGCCACTGACAGCTTGAACGATCCCGAGTGGCTGCGTGGCCTGTACCCCCTTCGCCTGGCTGAACTCCTTGTCTCTGCTGGCTCGTCATCATCTCCTTCAGTGAGCTTACCTTCATCATCACGCCTAGTGCGTATTTCTGATCTTCCCGCTTGGCAGCAGCTTTTGCTTCTGTGGCCTCTTTTGCTTTCTCCTGTGCTTGCAAAATAGACTTTTCTCTTATTCTCTTCATCATCTCTTTGTCGACTGCAACAGAAGAAAAGCACTAAATCAGGGTTGTGCTTGATTTGTTTTATCAAGGAGAAAAGCACTTACACTGATCTGGATAAGATTTCTTTAGATCCAGTTTTATAAAAAGTAAAAAACTTCGAGACAGCATCTTTTACATGGCCCAGGGCGGTTTTGCAGTTCTGATCCTCTTACCTCAACCTCTTTAAGAGCTGAAAGTGCAAGCATATAATACCACCTGGGGTCACCATGACGCCCAGAGTGAGACAAGATTTGAGACAAGGTTTCATGTCGCCCAGCTTCCCCGGTGCTCGAGGGAACAGGTACACACTGAGCTCTCATGAATGACACCAAGCTCAAGTGAACAACTTTCACTAAAAAAACTTACCATCTGGCATGGAAAGGGCCTCCCACAAAACTGGTTCCTTTTTATACAATGTGAAGAGAATCGTGTCATTTCCAATCTTGGCTTTGCTATTCCCATCATCTATGGGAGCATAGAGAAACACCTCAAATAAAAATGGAGGAAAGTTGACCTGTTCAGAAGAGAGAAAGCAGGCATTTAGTTACACAGATTGAAGACACTGCCATTAAAAAAAAAAAAAAAAAAAAAAAAAAAAGCGTCTGGGGCTGGAGAGTCGGCTCAGAGGTTAAGAACACTGGCTGTTCTTCCAGAGGTCCTGAGTTCAATTCTCAGCAACCACACAATGGCTCATAACCATATATGGTGATATCTGGTGCCCTCTTCTGGTGTGCAGGCACACATGCAGGCAGAATTCTGTATAAATAAAAAATAAATAAATCTTTTTTTTTTTAAGTCTGGGCTAGAGAGAAGGTTCAGTGATTGAGAGCACTTGCTGTTCTTGCAGACAACCTGGTTCTGAGCCTAGCGCCCACATGGAGACTCGCACCATCTAAACTCCAGTTCCAGGGTTTCTGACATCCTCATATAAACTACAAGGATATCAGACAAGCACATGGTACACATATGTACACAGAGGCAAAACAGCCACACACATAAAATAGGTCCAAAAAAATTACAATTATTTATTCTAGAAAAAAAAAAAAACCCACATTAGGGCAGGGGTGTAGTTCCTGGCATGGTGTCAAATGCTTGTGATCTGGGCACTTAGGAGGTGGAGGCAGGACGCTCAGACATTCCAGATCATGCTCAGCTACCATGTGGGTTTGAGGCCAGCCTGGGCTATCCCAGACCCAGTGATTTCTCTCAAAACCCCACTGAATTTATTCCAGGTAGCAAAATGTAGCAAAGCATATTGAGGGGATATGAGGAAGCAATGGATGATGGTAACCCATGACCTGAGTGTGTCTGTAAGATGACACCACACTGGCAAGAGATGTGTTCTTGTTGTTGCTTTCATGACATCTTTGCGTGCATGCGCGTGGGTAGATGAGTACCATGGCATGCATGTGGAGGTCAGAGCACTGTGGGAAGCTGGTTCTCCCCTTCCTGAGAACTGAACTGAGGAGGTTGGCAGGCTAAGTGCATTCACTCTTTGACCCATGTCACCAGCCCTAGATTGGCTTTTTAAAACAGGACTTTGAGTTGAGGTCCAGCCAGGGATGGTGAAGCATCCCACTAATCCCAACACTTGAAAGTCTGAGGCACGGGGGGATTGCCTAAAGTCCGAGGCCAGTGTGAGCTACTAAGATATTTGTCCCGACTCCAAACCATTGGGGTTGGAGGGATGGCTCAGTGGTTAAGAGCATTTGCTCTACATGCGAACATTCATATACATATATGCACACACATACATTATGCATATATTATACATGTATGTATAAATTATTCATATGTATACACATGCCTTGTGCATATATGCATACATGTGTACGTGTATGTATACATATATGTGCACATATGCGTGTGTGTGTATACATATATGTGTCTGTATATTTATAAATATATAGCATAGCAAATACTGGACGCTAGGTTTGATCCTTTAGCATGACAAAAAGAAAATTAACTGGGGCTGGAGAGGTGGCTCAGAGGGTAAGATCGCTTGCTGCTCTTCCAGAGGTCCTGAGTTCAATTCCCAGCAACCACACGGTGGCTCACAACCGTCTACAGTGAGATCTGGTGCCGTCTTCTGGAGTGCAGGTAGAATAAGTCTTTAAAAAATTAATAAATATAAAAAAGCCCAAGCAATGGGCACAGGACAGCATTTCAGCCCGAGCCGCCGCTGCTCCCGCGGCGCGCTGCAACCCCCCCCCGCCCCGCCCACCTTCAGGTAACTTTCCCCGCAGAACACGTCGGCGTCGCGCACGCACACGCCGCGCAGAGGCAGCGACAGAAAGACCGTGCTCGGCGTCTGCTGCCAGCTGAACTCGCTCACTCGCACCGGCATGGCGGGACCGGGAACGCCAGAGCCACCTAAAGTCGCCAGGGAGCCTGGTTCGGTTGCTAGGGAAGCCAGGAAGCGGGGCTGCCAGCACTTCCGGTCGTCGGGACCCTTCCGGGTCAGGGGTCCAGTGGGGCGCGCGGCTTCCCGGCCTACCCTGTGCTTATCCCGGTTGGCTGTGGCCGGGATCGGAGCGTCTGGTTCCAGGCTGCCCTCTGAGGGAAGGCCGTGTTCTTCGGAAAGGGAGACGAGACGGCTCGGGGACAGGAGACTGCCCTGCGAATGCAACTGCTTTTCGGAGGGTCCGGGTTCGGGCCCCAGCCCCCGTGTTGGGCTGGCCGCCATCGCCTGCAGCTCCAACCTGATGCCCTCCTTTGTTTGGCTTCTGAGGACGCCGCAGAAATGATTGCGATTCTTTCCAAATTGCTCTTTTCATGCTAGGGATCGAACCCGGTCCGTAGGCCCAGTTTTCCACATTACTGGAGTATGATACGAACAATAAATGTAATTAACGAGCACCAGAAAAGTTATTTGTACATAGCAAGCTGTATTTTAAACTAAAAAAAAAAAAAAAAAAAAAAAAAAAAAAAAAAAAAAATCTTTTTAACGCCAACGTAATTTATTGCAGCATGTTCAGGACCGATAGATTACTGTCCTTCCCCTGCCGAACCCGAAAAGTTTTGTCAGCAGTTCATCATCTCAAACTTTTTGTCCTTTGGAACAGTGGGAACCACCTTAGCATTCTTTTGCCCTTCAGAGCTGAGAAACCTACAGATCCTGCAGATTTGTCCCATTTTCATCATTCTTTTTGCCATTCCACCCCCTTTTCATTCTATTCCTGTTCTTACCATGTTGTCTTAAGCTCATGTCTCTTCTGGCTTTGTAGTCCCGTGAGGAGCGGGGCATGCGCACACGCATACACACGCAGAAGATGTCTAGGCATAGTGGCTCACACCTGTAATCCCAGCACTTGGGGAGGCAGAGGCATGTAGATCGCTGTGAGCTTGAGCCCAGCCTGATCTACAAGCAAGTTCAGGACAGGCAAGGCTACACAGAGAAACCCTGTCTCAAAATAACAATAATAATAATAGGAATTGATGGGCTGAGCTGGAGCTCAGTAGAGCGCCGACTTAGCATGTTCAGAGCCCTAGGTTCAGTCCCCAGCACGACATAAACCAGGTGTAGCTGTGCATGCGTGAAACCCTAGTATTTGAGAAGTGCGAGCAGGAAGATCAGAAATTCAAGGCCATCTTCTACGACATACTGAATCTGAGGCTAGCCTGGGCTATATGAGACCCTGTCTCAAATAAATAAAGCAGAACTGATGTTTACCAAGAAGCATAATGTCGTTATTTATTTACTTGTTTTTCAAGACAGGCATAAGATTCGCATGTGGAAAAAAAATATGTCCTTTTAGGGTCGAGAGAGATGGCTTACTAGTTAAGAGCACTGACTGCAGACGAGGCTCAATTCCCAGCACCCACAAGGCAGCGAGTTCATGATTGTCTGTAGCTGCAGTTCCGAGGATCTGATGCCCTCTTCAGGCCTCAACGGGCATTGCAAGCATGTGGAGTACAGACGTACCCCAGGCAAAACACTCCTACACATAAAATAAAATAAAGAAAAAGCCGGGCATGGTGACATGAGCCTTTAATTTCAGCACTCAGGGAGGCAGAGGCAGGTGGATCACTGAGTCCGAGGCCAGCTTGTCTTTTCAATCTGGAAAGCATCCAAATGTTTCTCAAGTATATATATAAAAAGAAAGTCCTTAAGGAAAATAACTATTCATTCATTCATTCTGGAGATAAAGTGTCACCGTGATGTGCTGAGATCTCTCCCTTCCTCTCTCCCCCTCCCACCTCTTTCAGTATGTTGTCCAGGCTGGCCTTCAACTCAGTCCTCCTATATCGACCTCTCAACCTCCCCAGTGCTGGGATTATACATATGTGACCCCATATCAGACTTATTCATTCCACATTTAAAAGTTTTAAAACAAAAGATGCAGACTGGAGAGATGGCTCAGCTGTTAAGAGCTTCTCTTCCAGAGGACCCGGGTTCAATTCTCAGCATCCAAACGGCGGTTCACAGCTGTCTATAACTTCATTTCCAGGGGAGCCAACATCCTCACGCAGACATACACGCAGGCAAAACACCAGTGTATATGAAATTAAAATAAATGAAAACTTTTTAGTTAAAAAAAAATGACATCTGTTTGTAGCCCTGGCTGGCTTAGACCAGGCTGGCCTCAAACTCACAGGGATCTTCCTGCCTTTTCCTCTGCATCCCAAGTTCTGGGTTTAAAGGTGTACACCACCATGCCCATTAAGCAGTTTCTTTTAAATTTTATTTATTTAATGTGTTGGGGTATTTTGCTTGCATTTTAATTTAAATATTTATTTATTACAATGTATTCACTTTGTATCCCCACTGCAGCCCCCTCTCTTGTCTCCTTCCAGTCTTACCCTCCCTCCCTCTTCTCCCCCTAGGCCCCTTCCCTAGTCCTCTGATAGGGGAGGACCTCTTCCTCTTCTATCTGACCCTAGCTTATCAGGTCTCATTGAGGCTGGCTATATCATCTTCCTCTGTGGCCTGGCAAGGCTGCACCCGCAGGGGGAGGTGATCAGAGAGCCTGCCACTAAGTTCATGTCAGAGACAGCCCATATAATGTAGGGTAAACATACTAAAACCTATAGCCCTAAAGAAGCTAAACAACAAGGAGGACCCTAGGGAAGAGGCTTAATCCTCATTCAGAAGGGCAAACAGGATGGACATCGGAAAGTAGGAGAAGACAAGGAACAGGACAGGAGCCTATCACAGAGGGCCTTGGAAAGACTCAACCCTCCAGGGTATCGTAGGAGATACTGTGACTCATATCCAAACTTTGTGCAGAGTGCCGGAATCCTTATGGAAGAAGAGGGAGATAGAAAAACCTGGAGGACTCAGGATCTCCACAAGAACAACAGAGCCAAAATACCTGGATCCAGGGGCCCCTGCAGGGACCAATACTCCAAGGATCATGCATGGAGAGGACTTCAAAGGAAGTCCATTAGCTACTCAGTTTCCAAGTGGGTTCCCTAGTAAAGGGAACAGGTGCTGTTGCCTATATTTTTTGTGTACCTTGTTACATTCATGAAGTGCCCACAGAGGCCAGAAGAGGGCATCAGATCCTCCGGAACTGAAGTTACAGAAGGCGGTGTGCTGCCATGTGGGTGCCGGGAATTGAACTCCAACCTTTGGAAGAACAGCCAGGACTCTTACTCATCTCTCTAGCCCCCCACCCCAGGTCCACCCATACCCCATTCCACACTCCTCAAGCTATCTTCTTGATCCTGGTGTCTCCCCTGCAAGTTGAGTCTTCTCTCTTTGCATTAGTTACAATGTTAAAGTTGCACAGATTTAACCTTCTGCTCCACCTCTGTTCTTCGAAAGAAAAAAAAAGTATGTATCAGGACTTTTGTTCCATCAGTATAAATTCCTGGCGAACTCCAGGCCAGAGCCTCCCTTAACGTTCTGTTGGCTCTATTTCATCCAAAGCCAATGCACTCATACCTACTTCTCCTAATGAGAGATAAGAGAGATTCAACTCTTAAAATAATCAGGCCTTCTCCTTAAAAATTACCTTTATTTAAAAGAATCTGAGATCGCGTAACACCACAGGACACAAACTTACAACACATGTGATTCAAGAAAGCCGGCATACATCATTTCCCCTAATAGTGAGGCCACAGAAGGACGGTGCTTACACAGCACACAGGTGACACATGCGTCTCCCTGAAAACAATGGTGACAAGAACACGGTCTGAGGGGAAAGTAAGACCCCTGCTTGTCTCACAACTTCAGGATAAAACAGTAATGTACAGGAGAGGCGTTCAAGGTTGAACTCCAGCATGGTGTTTGGGGCAGGAGGGAACTGAGCAGAACGGGGGAACTGTGCAAGGTTAGGACAGCAGAGGAGAGGGATTTATAACTGAGAATGTAGTGTCTTTTTAAAACTCTCCACACTCGACCGAATTCTGTCAGTTACTGAGCTAGCTTCAATTTCTTTGAAGAGCATAACCTGCCTGTAAGCTCTGTAAAGATAACAATTTGGGGGACCCAGTAATCACCTTATGATTTGTTGTTGTTCTTATTCAGACTTTGTCCAACATTGTTATTCTGAGGCCACATCTCACTGTGCTGGCCCGGAACACACTACCTAGACCAGGCCAGGGCCAAGTTTGCAGAGATCCCCCTGCCTGCCTCTCAGTGCTGTGATAAAAGGTGAGTGCCACCACGCCCAGCCCCCACCATTTCAACTTAGAGTAGTACTTTCTTAAAACGCCATGATGAAATAGAAATACTAGGCTCTAAAAAGACTATTTGTCAAAATGTTAGACAAAATTAAACCCCTAAGATATGGTGCTAAACTTTTAATACAAAAAAAAAACAACTAAGCCTATAAAAATATGGACATTCAAGTCAAATAGAACGGGATTATGACACCATGGGGTGTCTTTACGACTGCATGAGAGTCATTGCTATGCCATCCGGTCAACAGTCTGCAACAAAAAAAACACAGGCTAGAAAACAACCATGTCTTGCTGCAGTCTCAGATACACGAGCACAACCAAGGTACACGTACACTTGGAAATACATCCACCGGTGCAGAAGACTCTGAGTCAGAGCGCTTGTGACCGAAAACTCTAAACTGGAATGTTTAGGAAGATAGTCAACTTAAACACACATCAGCATCTGTTTTTACGTTAAGCATATAATTTCAAACATGCAAATTTGCAATGACCAAATATCATTTTTTTTATAATCCCTTTGGGTACTAATTTTAATGATGGGCTTTAAAAAAAACTATTTATTGGGGCTGGAGGGGTTGGCTTTGCAGTTAAGAGCACCGACTGCTCTTCTGGAGCAGTTCCAATCCCAGCACCCTCACGGCGGTTTACAACTGTCTCTGCCTCCAAGATCTGACACCCTCCTATAGACACACACGCAGGCCAAACACCAGCACACCTCAAATGAGATTTTAAGAAATATTTATGCTACGCGTGTCTCTCTGTGTGTGCGCGGCGGTCTGCAGAGGCCAGAAGCGGGTATTGGAACCCCTTGAAGGGGAGTTACGGGAGGTTCTGAGCTGCCTCACTAGGGTGCTGGCAACTGAACCCGACTTCCCTGAAAGAGCAGCAGGCACTCTCAAGGGATGAGCCATCTCTCCAGTTCCAACAGAAAATGTTTTAAAACTAGGGTTCCTAAGCAAATGCCTCAAAAAGAAAAATGAATTGTGCTTTTGGTTAAATACTCTTAAAAGCATGATTATGATGTTCAGCATCAAACCTACCATCAGGAAGGGCAAACTGAAGAGCACCCATGTTCTTGCACATGGTCACAAATTCTAAGGAAATGGGAGAAGTTTTCTTATCTAACTAATTGTCCCAATTATCTCAATCATTTCTCTATTATTAAAGATGTTTGCCATTATTTTGGTTACAGTACAGCGAATATTGCTTTCAGTTGGGACTCGTCGGCATATGTCAGCTAAGAGAACTCCTCAGGAATCGCAGCCGCGGTAGATGGACTCTTCTTTAGACAGTCTTGCTCTGTAGCCTGGAGTGGTCTCCATCTGCAGAGCCCCCACTCCAGGCTCTGAACACTGGGATTGTGGGTTCACACTACCATGCTGAACCGGTTGAAACTTTTAGGTGTGTTTATTGTATCATGAACACCATTGAGCTGCTACCACCAATTTCACTCCCCCAACACCTCAAAGACATCAAGCCTTTACTAACTAACCCATACCTACTCATGTTTCACTGACTTCATAGAGTAGCTGAAAACATCCCAGCATACGAAATCATTAGAATTACATAGTAATTCCCTTTGCCATAGGAATAAAGGTTGGACAAAGTCTGGAAACCTTTTATTTTCCAATTTGAATTACAGTGATTTTTTTTGCCACAGACCACAGCACTGGTGCATGTATGATTTCAGACACACACTAGGAACAAAAGGACGACCTACCGCCGAAATACATGTCACCAATGTGGAGCACACTTGGGTTTGTGTAAAAGTGCTGAACCGATATCTCAAAGAGAGGCATAGGTCAACGGTACATCAAGAAGAGAGAGTTTTACATGAAGCAACGGTTCAACTCGCATACACCATGATCAGAAGCAGGGCTCTTATAAAAGATAACATCTTCACTAACGAGCAATACCACCTACCTGTCCGAGGAACAAGAAAGGTGCAGGTACTTGGAGAGCTGCCAATGTATAACTGCAGGTCACATGCTACTGGGGGACCCGGAGGCAGGTGAGGCTTCCCGCCCAGGGTGGTTTTGGAGTTTTGAAGTACATACAGGCAAGTGTCTGGTGTGCTGAGGGTCTGGCCTCTATGTGGCCTTCTTCTTCCCCCTCCCTTTGACCATCTGACAGGGGAGAAGAGAGGGTTCTCCCTAGCTCCATACTTCAGCACCTCCAAACTCCCATCACGCGACCACTGAGAATCACTAAATGCAGGCGTGATCTTATACTGTTCTCGTGAGTAAATGGAGGGAGAGCAAGAGGAAGTTACTGAAATTTGGGGGTCAGAAGGGAGCCTCCGAGCTCGGGAAAACTACAGAAAGTCCAGAGAGTCTGAAGGAAGTAGTCTGAAGACAGGGGCAGCTGATTTGCGATCATATGGGGTCTGGGCTACAGCCCAACATCACAGAAGGATGTCCTTTCCTTTCTTTTCTTTTTCTTTCTTTTCTTTTCTTTCTTTCTTTCTTTCTTTCTTTCTTTCTTTCTTTCTTTCTTTCTTTCTTTTCTTTCGAGATAGTCTTATGTACCCCAGGCTAGCCTCAAACTACATAGCCGAGAATGACTTTGAGCTTCTGATCCTCCTGCCTCCACCTCCCAAGTGCTGGGGTTACAGGTGGATACCAGCATGCCCATTTTGCGTGGTCCTGGGGATGGAACCCGGGTCTCCTGCATCCTAGGCTCTACTAACTGAGCCACATCCCCAGCTCACAGAGCAACTTCCAATCGAAGGAACGATGAGGAAGTTGGAGCATCCTGGAGGGGGAATGACAAACCTGCTTCCTCAGCAGGTGCTAAGAGGGCAAGCAGGAACTACCCATGGCAGTGAGCTCAGCCTTTCCTAGGGACTACTTCGCTAGGACGGAAGGCCGTTGGTGCTTTCTCTCATATCAATGTGTGATCAGGAGAGGCAACTACGCTGCAGCTTACACCCTCACGGGCTTCCCTAAGAGTCTAACCGTCTTGCACCGCCTTCCCAACTATTATTTACAAAGAAGCTTTGTGGGTCTGGTTGAGTTTCAACTCTTAAATTAGGAAAGCCTAAAATAGCACAAATGTACATGCACACAAAACCTCTCTACATTACAAAAAAAGCTCTACACAACTTAGGACCCCCTCCCCCCTTTAAAACTGCTGCTTGCTTATCTGCTTAGTGTTCTATCAGCCCGTGTAGGATGCCCGAGAAATGCTGTCATGCTAGTTTGTTCAAGACAGCTAAGTCGGAAAGAATATTAGATGAAGATGCTTGATACTCTTTTAGGATGGCAAGTCATCAGACTGCATGGTGGCCAACATTATTAAGAATTTTTCTAAGCTGTGCTGGGGCACGCCTGGGATCCCAGCACTCTAGGAGGCAGAGGCAGGCAGATCGCTGTGTGTTCGAGGCCAGCCTGGTCTACAAAGCCAGTCCAGGACAGCCAAGGCTACACAGAGAAACCTTGTCTCAAAAAACCAAAGGGTTGGAGAAAATAATTTTTCCTATCACTAGGAAGAGTTGGATGTCTGAAAAACAAAAACAGAAGAAAGAGAAACTCAAAATCTAGCTGTCATTTCATTCTGCTCTCTTACAGAGAACAAACGCCAGTGCAGTAAAACCTTACTTCCTGTGTGCAACCTTCTAATCTGGGTAACAAGGACCGCAAGAGCATCATTGTTCCACCCCAGGGGAAGACACTGACCAAATTCCTAATTCTATTTGACAACAGCTTTATTTTCTTTGATAAGCTAAGCTGCTTCAATATTTGTGTATTCTGGGCTATCTGAAACACGTGGACCAGAAATCCTCTAGTGAACAAGCAAGGAAACTTCTCAGAAAGTGTGTGTGTGTGTGTGTGTGTGTGTGTGTGTCTGTGTGTGTGTGTGTGTCCGCGCACGTGCACGCTCCATATTTCAAAATCTGCACAAAGGGCTGGAGAGACGGCTCAGGGGTTAAGAGTAAGTGACTGCTCTTCCAGAGGACCCACGTTCAAATCCCAGCATCCATATGGAACCTCATATGCAGTCCCCGCCATGGCCAGAAGAGGGTAGCAGATCTCCTGTAACTGGAGTTACACATGCTTGAGAGTGTGTGAGTGCTGGAAACAGAAGCTGGGTTGGTCGGTGAGAGCTCTTAATCCCAGATCTGATGCTTCAAAACTTCATCAGCAAGTTGGCCAGGGTTAACATAGAGCCAGGTTCAACTTCAGCACAGCTTGAAGATGAAGGAGTGAGCAGGGCGCCTTTCAGGGAAGAAAAAGGATTAGACCAGGAAATACACAATTCTACGGGTTCTTCTTCACCTCTTGTATATATTTTTAAGTTGAAAGCTGTTTATCACCTTTTCTAAGAAAGTCATGTGAATCTGTAACAGACATCTTTGGGCAAAATGAGACAAATTTTCTGGGCATGCTCATAATTCATCACCAAAACCATCTATATATACATTTTATAAAATTTCATAGTATTTTATGCACACAAACGTGTAACTAAAAGTAAATTCAAACCTGTGAAGATAATTATCAGCTTTGATTACAGGTTATCCCATGACTCATGGCTGAAACAAATATTGGGCTTTTCTTTTCTTTTTTTCTCCCTCCCCCTCCCCGCTTTCAAAAAGATAGGTTCTCAATATGTAGCCCTGGCTGTCCTGGAACTTAGTATGCAGAACAGGCTGGCCTCAAACTCAAAGATCCAGTTGCCTCTGCCTCCAGAGGGCTGGGATTGAAAGTGTGCACCAGCTGGGTTCTTAAATTTTACAGATTCTTACTATGATGTCTGGCAAATGTAAAGCATGTGAAATTCACCTGTATTTTTTTTTTAAAGCAACACCTTACAAATAAAGTGAAATAACCACCTTATAAATCATCTGTCCCTAGAGGTCGTCTCGTCTTCACAAAGACAGCTAAGCACTAAAACCACCAGCAATAAAAGGCTTATCGAACGGCATGACCCATTTTAGCAATAACCAAACCAACACTGCCACAGTGGAACATCAGTTTCTGCGCATCTTGTTCAGCTCAGTCCAGAGTCAGGACCTAACACTAGGAGTGAGCACCCAGCACCAGATACAGGATCTCTCAAAAGTCAGGACTCCAGGGGCTAGAGATGCCATAGAGGTGAAGCTTGTGGACTACTCTTGCCAAAGGCCAGGATCTGGTTCCCAGTATACTCACCACAGGCTGCTCACAACTGCCTGTAACTCCAGCGGTGGATCTGATGCTCTCTCCAGGCCTCACGGGTACGGCATGTATGTGCACAGACCCACATAGATACACATAGACAAATCTTTAAAACGTCAGCACTCAAGAGGATTTCAAGAACAAACCTGGATCTTTAAACATTTCAGAAATTTAGCTCTAACAGAAATAACAGCCTGAGACGATGTGGTCACATTGTCCTGAATACCAGCACGCGGCAGGCAGCCCACCCTGTCCTCAGCTTCCTGCAACTGCTCAAGTTTGCGCCTGAAGAGATGTTGGTTACAAAGCTCATTGTCATGTCATTTCCTAAAACTGTGATGATATATATTACACAGTTACCCAGTTCTAGCTAGGCAAGGGTAGATTGAAAAAACCTTGTGTTACCTTGTAGTGCATGAAACCGTTATATGTATCAAAATTAGAGCACTGTATTTTAAGTTTAAGTCAGTGATAATCTACATCAGAAACACCATTTTCTACCAACAGGATATTAAATGTCTAATATTCACAAAATTCATCATTTTGTCAACTGTACAAATTATTCAAACCCTGTAGTTACTTAATTGGGGCATGGTGTTGCTTAGAAAACAGGCCCAAATGATAAAAAGCTAGCTTTCCACTAAACAATGCTCTAGGGATAACGATGGATGACAAAGCGCACAGCCCAAGATGGTTAACTGTGCCTTAGTGCTGTGAGACACTTAAGACATGAGAGAGACAGTCCTACCGTGTCAAAGTGTGGTTTCTGTTCATTAACAAAAAGATTTTATTATGTATACAATGTTCTGTCTGCATGTACACCTGCAGCCAGAAGAGGGCACCAGATCTCATTATAGATCGTTGTGAGCCACCATGTGCTTGCTGGGAATTGGACTCAGGACCTTTGGAAGAGCAGATGGCGCTCTTGACCTCTGAGCCATCTCTCCAGAGCCACAAAAAAAGATTTTTAAAAGCCAGAACATCTTTTTATTTACTTTTTAAGTGTATGGGTGTTTTACCTGCATAAGTGTCTGTACACTATATGTGGAGATCAAAAGATGGAATGGGAGCTTCTGGAACTGGAGTTACAGATGGTTGTGAGCTGCCACACGGGGGATGGGAAACAAACTGGGGTCCTTAAGAAAGTCAGCTAGTTCTCTTAACTGCTGAGCCATCTCCTCAGCCCCCATGTCAATCAAGAATCTTTACACACTTTTATGTTTCTTGATAAATGTGTGGCTGCTCTCGTTGTTCTCTTTCCCTTCAAGTGAATAAATTATCTCCTTTGAGACTACCACAGTATTTAGAGTTTTGACATTTTTAACTGTTTTTAACTATTGTGTTTTAAGATGTTTTTATTTTATGTGTATCTGTGTACACATAAACATGTGTTCACTTTGTGTGTGCAGTGCCTACAAATGCCAGAAGAGGGCACCAGAGTCCCTGGATCTGAAGATACAGGCGGTTGTGAGGTGACCATTGTGGGTTCTGGGAACTGAACCCAGGTCCTCTTCAAGAGCAGCAAGAGCCAGGCCACCAGTCCCACATTCTAGAACTTTTTATAGTCACACTGATAATGAAAGGCAAAGCATCATTAGGGATGGTCATCAATATGCCACCATTGTCTAAATTGCCACCATTTGCTTATACTGGTCACAGGTTATGATCTGCTCCAAAAATATGTGTGTGTCATTTTGGACCTTAGAGCATCCCTCCGGAGGTAAGGTCCTCTCGGGTGCATCCGACACTGTTCCCAGTTTCAGCAGAAGTGACTGACCCTGAAACACAGCCCCGAGTAAGCCTTGTCCCGGCCTCTTCACTGCTCTTTACTTTAAAGTGGATTTTGAGCTTCCCTGAGGTTCACTTTACAGACTCAGCTCTCCAGAACAGCGCTCCAGCCGGCACTGCTTAGTTCACAGGGCGGCAGAGCCCTCCCTGTAGGACCACGCTGCTGCTTCTGTCTTTCCCCGCAGTCTGTCCCGGCTTAAAAGCATGTAGAAGAAAGTGTTCACAATGCTGAAGCTATTGCATTATTATGAGGAGAACATTGCCAAGACCCGAATAATTAAAAAACTGAGCGCATAGTGCCAGCGTAATTCTAAATGACACACGAGGAAACCCTTGCCAGGCCAGTTTTACTAAAATCAGCGAGCTGACATCAGCAGTTTCACAAGCACAACCCACCGGCCAATTAGCAAGTACTACTGGGAATAGACTATATGCCGTGATCCAAGTCTGTCTTGTACCTACATAGATATCCCAGAAAGACTGATTTGAACAATGAAATTCACAGATTCCAAAGACCCAAGCAGAGGAGGGATCAATGTCAAATTCTAACATTAAAAGAAAACATTAAACTCCAGTAAACACACAGATTCCCCCCGCCCCACGTTACCCCTACACAGACTGTATTCGGAGAACATGTTAAATCTATCTACTCTTAAACTAAACGTGTGCTGTCACACGGTCAAAGCTTAGTGCGGGAATATTTTTCAATACTAACTTTTAAAAGTTACAACTCGCCTACCTTTGTCATATATTATTTTGAAGCTTCAAGAGGCTTTTCTGTTTATGATAAATAACAATGATCATTTATTTGTAAATGTCTCTACAGTAACCCCCTCCCCCCGAACATTAACCCAACAACAAACAAAAAACCAAGAAAATGAAGCATGATGTTAGTAAGAACTGGTATTTGTGTGTGTGTGTGTGTGTGTGTGTGCATTTAAAAAAATAATGTCAACCATTAAAACCCTAGGTCACCAAATCTCCGTTCTACACGGGAAGGGGAACCCACGTTAGTTGACGGTGGCGCTCAGGCATCCCCGCCCACGGCGGGTGGCCCGAAGGCCTCCCTAGTGCGCATGAGCTGGACATCCTTGTCAGCCATGCAGGTGTCACAGCCCCACACGGCGGAGGCCTCGGCCGTCAGGAGCCCGTAGGCCGTTTCCGTCATTCCGGTGCAGATGCGATGGAACCACTTCTGACAGGAGGCCTCACACAGGATGGCGTCCTGGTCGTCGTTCACTTCGTTGGTGCAGATCCCGCACGGGTACACCGGGTCGGAGGACGAGTGGCCGTGCCGGCCGGGGTGCAGGGAGAACTTGCGGCTCTTGTCCGTGGTGCCCAGGTCGGCCGGGCCCCGGGGCTTCGGGGGCTTGTTCTGGGTCCCGTTGGCGTGGTTGGTGGTGGCCTCGGCGCTCCCCGAGCGGCTGTTGTCCTGGACGCCGGTGCTGTTTCTGCTGACGTTCTTGACCTCGATGCTACTCTGATTGCCTGGGTCCTCCATGTTTAGGTGAGGCGGGTGAGAGGAGGAATTCTGATTCGTGGGTTTCGCTGCCCCTTGAGGAAAGTCTTGTTTGGGAAGCGGCGGTTTTGCTTGACCGAATGCGTTTGGCGGTGGGATAAACGAATGATTGGATTCTAACGGAGAGGTAAAATTTGAATTATTTCCAGGGACAAAATTAGATGCCAGGTCAGGATTAGGTACTTGGCCAGCATTCTGTGGGGGAATCTGACTGAAGTTTTCAGCAGGGCCTTGCCTAAAATGCTGGCCAGGCATGTTAATGTCCTGGGCCAGCACGCTATTGTAAGGTGGGTTTCCAAAACTCGAATTATCGTGTGGTCCAAAGTTGAAGGCGTGAGGCCGGTTAAAGCCCATGCCCAGAGGATTCTGAGGAAATGGATGTGGTTGATTCCTGAGTGAGTAAGGACCACAGTAGGGGGCAGACATTCTTGGAGGGACGTGGGGTGGCATTCTGAACGTGCTGTAGCCTCCAAAGCCTGGGTAGCCAGGGTTGAGATACGGACTGGAAGAAGGCAGCGGTTTATACGAAATAGTGTTGTAGTTGTCATCGAAGGGGTTGGCAGCCACTAGATGGTCGGAGTTTGGATTTGGTGGTGGTGCATACTCAGACAATGGAGGAAAGGAAGGCCCCTGCAAAGAGAATAAAAAAAAAAAAAAAAAAAAAAGACAGTCTTGATGCAAGTATTTAATTATACTTGATGAAAATACATAGAGCTGGAGAAATGGCTCAGTGGTTAAGAGCACTGGCTGCTCTCTCAAGAGGATCCAACTTTGGCACCCAAAGCATGAGTCACAACCATCTGCAACCCCAGCTCCGGGGCATCTGACGCCCTCTTCAGGCCTCTACGAGCAACAGCACTCAGGTGCACATACCCACAATAATAATCAAACACACCTATACATAATTTAAAATAGAATGAAATCATTTTTAAGACACATGTTTCTCTCACTTAGGAGTGGCGATGAGATATGCTTTCCTAGCTCAAGCCCACTGCTAGTTCAATCCCCCCCTTAACTTTCAAAAGAAGCCCACCACTGGGCTAGAGATATGTCCAGCAGTTATGAGTGCTGGCGGCTCTTCCAGAGGAACGGGTTCCATGCCCAGCACCCAGGTGGTAGCTCACAACTACCTATAACTCCAAATCCAGGGCATCTGAGCCCTCTTCTGGCTCCATGGACACCAGGCATGTGGTACCAGACATCTATGCAAACCGTCCCTCGTACACATACAATAAGAATAGATCATTTTTTAAAAGCCTACCACAACGTTCATGTCTGTGCTTACCTACAGGTAAATTCTCTCTCTGAAAACACGGAAGCATTCTAAGCAAAACTCGCCTTACGCCCCAAATAGTCATAAAGCTAGATAACGATGCACAGATTCCAAGTGTCTTTTAATGTCTAGAGAGCCACAATTAGAGCATTCTCAAAGCCTCTACACATCTTAATAGAAAAATAATGGTTCCACATCAGGTTTAACAGACAGTGACCAAAACAAAATATAATTTAGATTCATATCAAAGTAACTCATACTCATTATTACCAGAAGAGTGCTTTAGTTTATAGCAAATAAATCACAAGGCAGGGCTGGAGAGATGGCTCCTTAACAGCACTGGCTGCTCTGGCAGAGGAGCAGGGTTTAGCTCCCAAAACCTATATGGCACCCACAACCATCTCTAACTCCAGTTTTGGGTGATTCAACGCCCTCTTCTGGCTTCCAAGGGTACTGTATGCACATGGTACACAGATATACATGCAGGCAAACACTCACACAAATAAATAAATGAATAAACAAATAAACTGAAAACCATAAAGGCCTGTGTGTGCAATTATTTATTATAACCACAAGTTACAACAAAGGAGGCTTTTCCGCTATAATTACTTCCTGATATCCACACAATATTGATTACCATAATAACAGAACAATTACTTCAAGTTAAAATTATTTTCAAAATCTTTAAGTAGAACTACAGCTAGCCTAACAGACAGCATGTTGAGTGCAGAGCCCTTCATTAGGCCCTGAAGCAGACAGGAGGCGAAGCACATAGCCAAACGTAAAAATTCACTTATCCTCTTCATGACGCCAGCAAGCGAACCTTGTTACTAAGGAAAACATCAGGGCTAAAGAGACAGTGGTTAATGAGTTCAGTCCCCAGCATACACTTCAGGTGGCTCGTAACTGCCTGTAACTTCCACACCAGCACAGGAGAAACCCTCTTCTGGCCTCTCCGGATACGTGCACTCACAGGCACAGAGACAGACTTTAAAATGAACAAATGAACAAAACCCAAACAACGACAAAAACCCAGATCTTAAAAGTAGAATTAATTTTAAAAAGGAAAAAAAAAGGGGGGGGGTCAATTTTACCTGTGTGCTGGCCTTGCGTTTTTTCTTATCCGGGCTTCCTAGTTGTATATTTGGCCCTCCTAACCCATCCAGTCCACTGTCACCACCTACAAAAAAAGAAAAAAAAAATCCCACATGGAGGTGAAACTGTCTCAGATGTCTCATAGTAATAGTATATAAGGCAGGACACAAAGACAGGAGTGATTGGTCAGGAAGCTGGAAGGCCCACTCCCCGGGACGAGCAGAGAGTGCTGAAGGCTGCCTTCCTCCCCAGCTGAAAACCTACAGCTCTCCAGGACTCCAGCCCTTTGCTGCCCTAGTGGCTCCTGATTTGCTCTCATCAGAATACAATTTCACCCAAGGCATCTCTGGAGTGTCCTATAATTTTACTTAACAAAAGACAAAGGAAACGGGATAAACAAAAAATGTTTCCAGTCAACCTTTTGAGATGTCAGGAGAGCCACTGGAGTAGTTTATGTAACGAAAGCAAAGATAATTAACAGCATTCTCTTGAGAACCCCATACCTACCCCGGGCCACGTTGTGTTTTTCTACTCTCCTCACGTCTCCTAACTTTCACACTTCAAGTCTACATTAAGATATCTTTAATAAAACCTCCAACTCTACTTCATGCTGACTAGTCCTGAAATTCTTTTTCAGCACTGAAGCCACCAATCTTAGTTTTGCCTTAGTTGTCCCTAAAAGATTAAAGGAATCGTCACTGAGACTACTGACAAGCATCCTTTTTGTCCTGTCCTTATGACTATTTCATGTAGGCGTGTGATATACTTGTGTGGGTGAATGCATGAGGATGAGTGCAAAGGTCAGTTAACACCGTGAGAGAGCTGGTTCTCTTTCCACTGTGAAGTCAGCGGATCAAACTCAGGTCGCTATGTTGCGGCAAGCGCCCTTACCCACTGAGCCATCCCACCAACAACCAGTATCTACAATATTTAACCCATTGTATTGTTTTCTTGTCGTGGGAAAGTGCTTCAGAGGTTCAGTCACGGCTATTTGGCCCAAGCTCTAGCTCACCATCGGGGTAGGCTGGAGGGAATGTCACCCCTCAAGGTAACAGAGGAGGGCGATGAAGAAAGAGAGGACCAGACACAACTGTCAAAGGTGCAGCCCCATTAGGCCTGACCCCCTAAAGCGGCACTCCAACCCTCTAGGTTCCGGGGACCCCGACTTCACTTTGTTATTGTTCACTGATTGTGGAAGCTGTTTCCTGCAGTTCTGTCTCCATGGTCCCGTTTGCTCTTTTGATTAGCACCTCTTTCTGTCTGTCTGTCTGTCTGTCTGTCTGTCTACACAGCTGTCTATTTTGCTTTATTGTTAGATAGTGTCTTAGGCTGCCTTCCTACTGGGTGGTCCGGGACTTCTGCCCTGATGTTCCTTTTCCCAAAACTGGGATGGTCCCCGGAGAAGAACCCTCACCAGTGCCCATCACACTGTTTAAAGTGGCACGGCGTGACAAATGAATGGTTCAGGTCCTTATCCCTCCTGGAAGTCCCGGGTGTAACCACTGGCGTCACCGCTGGCCAAGTGGGACTAACTTCTTCCTAGCTTCTCTACCAGCAGCTTTGCTCTCTGTTCGTCCCGGACCTCCGGCGGGTGGCTCAGACCATCCTCACCCTCCAGGGCCACCGAGACTCACTGGCTGCTGGAGTGTTACAAATCGGCAAGGACAAGATTTACTAACATTGAGGAGGGTGGTCTTCGCCTCTTCCTCAGGCAGGAGTGTTCCTTTTAGGTCAACCAGTCGAGTACAGTGAAAGGCAGGATCCAACAACTCCAGAGGGATCTCCAAAAACATAAGGAACGGCGAGAAGCCTGACTGATGGATCGCTGAGGGTCCAGGGTGGAACAGGGTACTTCTGCCTTTCTCAATCCCCCTTCTTCCTCTTTTCCTAAACCTACTATTTGCACCCTGCTTCATAAGCTTCTTGTCTAGATTTCTTCAACAACCAATCTCAAAGATTTCTAAGCAGGCTTTTAATCAGCTGGCTGCTAGAGGATTATCAGCCCGTAACCATGGGACCAGAGGCCCAAGACCTTTGATTATACACTGACGGTGAATGTCAAGTTTGCCTCAAGGACCGTGGCACCCCAATAAGCAGGAAGTGGACTAATGATAACACCGCCCTCTTTCCTGACCCCTGATTGCTTATTAATCATAAACAAAAAAAGTGGGGAGGAATGTAGGGTAGAAGGTCAGAGCTCACTTCCAGGTTTGAAAACCCAACAATCCCCTCAGCTCGAAATCCCACCAATCCCTGGGTTTGCCCCAAATTCAGGACTTGAAATCTCAACGATCCTCAACCTGGATGCCTCCCGGCAAAGTCTGCTGAAAGAAATTCTGCCTCCGGCTCCGGCTCCGTTCCCTGCTGCTTCTTTGCCCAAGCAGAGGCAACCGCCCTCTTGTGTCTTTCCCAATAAATCTTTTGTGCGAGGTTTGTTGTGGGTGTGACTTGGTTCCCGACTGCCAGGATACCTCTCCCTTTAGAGCAGCACTTCCACTGGGGAAACTTCTCCTCAGGGAGGTATTAGTATTTAATCTCGGAGGGTTTGGGTTGGAGCAGAGCATTGCCTGGCATGTGCCTTGCCCCCAGGGTTGATACTCAGAACTTCAACTCTTCCCTCCAAGCAGAGGCAGGGTACCACCCCACGCAGTATCATTGTCTCAGGAGTCTGTGTTAGACCCTACGTGCGTCCCTCTTGGAGTTCACGTATTTTTAGTAGTTCCGGCCTCCTATGTTTTGTTGCTACCTCCACGAGAATCTTAAAATCCTCCTGTGGTCACTTACATTTGCCATCTGTTAATGACTGTTAAAACTCTGGTGTGCTGTCTCCAGATCAGATACCAACTGAAAAGCATCTCAAGTCCCACCAGCAAGACACAACCGTGAGGTTAACTTGCCACAGATCTCTGTCTTAAGATTGGTAGATCTAGTTCCCTTCTCCTTCTGTGTATACAGATGAACGCACAGTTATACTTTTACAGAATCAAGACCCTTTAAAAGCTTTTTTTTTTTTTTTTTTTTAGTTTTGTATAGGTATTTTGCTCACGTGTATGTCTGTTTACCACATCTTTTCAATGTGCCCAGAGACCAGAAGGAACCCTCGTGAGTGCTGGGAATCCAACCTGGTCCTCTAGAAGAGCAGCCAGTGCTCTTAACTCCTGAGCCATCTCTCTAGCCTCACAAGACAATATCTTTGAAGTAAGAGCATTAAAATGTGAAATTCACTAGCATTTCATAGAGCTAAGAGAAAGCTAACAGAGCAGTGTTCTCTTCATTAAGGGAAATCTTTTCACCTTTTCTTTTCTCCTTTCCTTTCCTTTCTTTTTGAGATAGAGTCTTGTATAGCCCAGGTCGGCCTTTAATTCACCATGTGGATGAGGATGACCTTGAACTTCTGATCCTCCTGCCTTTACCTCCAGTGCTGGGATTATAGGTATGTGTCACTTCTCTGAAATTATGCACATTCCAGCTCAAGCAAGTTTCTGCAAGGATCCTTTTGGGCAGTGGTCCTCAATGTTCCTTACGCGGCCACCCTTTAATGCAGTTCCTCATGTTGTGGGGATGCCCAACATCAAATTAGTCTCATTGCTACTTTAACCATATATTATTATCGTTGATAGGTTAACTATTGTTAACTGTAAATCATAAGGCAGCCGGGCATGGTGGTGCACACCTTTAACCCCAGCACTCAGGGAGGCAGATTGCTGTGAGTTGGATACTAGCCTGGTCTACAAAGCAAGTCCAAGACAGCCAAGGCTACACAGAGAAACCCTGTCTTAAAAAACCAAAAACAAACAAAAAAAAAAAAAAAGAAAGGAAAAAAAAACTTGTCAAATTTATAACTCTTTCATTGTTGCTGTCTGAAACGAGGTCTCTTTAAATAGCCCTGGTTGTCCTGGAACTCACTCTGTGGCTCTGGATGACCTAGAGCTTACTATGTAGTTCAGGTGACCTCAGACTCACAGAGCTCCATCTGCCTGGTCTACAAAGTGAGTCCAGGACAGCCCAGGTTACACTGAGAAACCACATCTCATAAACAAACAAACAAACAAACAAACAAACAAACAAACCCTAATGTTAATATCTGTGTTTTCCAATGTCTTAGGCCACCTCTCCAAACGGGTCCACAGGCTGAGAACCACTGCTCTAGGGCTTAAGAAAAGACACTTTAAGAAACATTAAGTTAGGGACAGAGAGTTGGTTTGGCAGTTAAGAGCACTGACTGTTCTTCCAGAGGACCCTAGTTCAATTCCCAGACCCATGGCAGCTCACAACTGTCTGTGAGTCCAGTTCCAGGGGGTCTAACACCCTGACAGTAACACACATGTAGGTAAGACACCAGTGTGCATGAAATAAAATAAAATTTAAAAAATGCATTTTCAAAAAATGTAAGGACTATTAAAAAGGCCGTTAATGTATGTATGTATGTACGTACATACGTATATATGTATGTGTGTGGTACTGGAGGTTGAATTCAGGGCCTTACACATTGTTAAGCAAATACTCTACTCCTGGGTTACATTCGTAGTACTTCATTTCATTTTGAGATACTGACTCTTTGCTCGGAAAGTTAAGGATATGATTTCATATTTCCGTCTACTTTTGCTTGTCTTAAAATTTTCATTACATTTATTTATTTATAAGCTGGGTGTAGTGGCACATGCCTTTCATCTCAGCACTAGGTACATACATACATACATACATACATACATACATACATACATACATACATACA